CTAATCTTATCTTTTGGGACAGGTGCTCCATTCAAGTACATGAGCAGCAGGATTGAGGCCATAGACCAGACAAACTGTGTGTGCAAATATGCTCTAATCGATGGCGATGTCCTTGGCGACAAGCTCGAGAAAATTTGCTATGAGATCAAAATTGAGGCCTCTGAGGATGGAGGGTCCGTGATCAAGATCGACAAGGAATATCACACCAAGGGCGATGCTGAAATAACCGAAGAAGAAGTCAAATTTGGGACCGAACAAGTTCAGGGGCTTTACAAGGCTTGTGAGGATTATCTCATTGCCAACCCTCATGTTTGTGCCTAAACAGCCTTGTTTGTGCCAAGGGAAAGCTATTTAGCTTGTGCTTGCTTTTGTGCCTAAATAAAAAGGAACAGTTCGGTTCCTTTGTTGTTATTGTCGTCGTTTCTGATCATGATTATAATGTGTTCTCTTTTGAGATTTAATTTGTTGAGACAATCTTACTGTAATATCCAACTTATCATGTTGTATCATCCATTATAAGTTATAACTCTTACTAAGATTGCCTATACTTCAGCCATTAGCTTCTGTTTTCTGCACACACCAACCGTATAAAGAAGAACAAAGTCTGCAGATTATGTTTAGTGTTTACAGACTCCCCCTATAGGAGGCGACGTTTAGTGGAAATCATATTAACTTGTGACGATCGATGTGCAAACAATGTCACCAAGAAACAGATCCAAATCAAACAACACAATGGGAATTTCTTAAAACTTTGCTCATCAGAAAGCAGGAAATGCATTGACCTTTGGCTCTCACAGCATAATTCTTTGTCCAAACAAATGTAAATGAAACCCAACTATACACGTCTAATGATCATTGCATTATTACCTAATTAGACGTCTTTATTCTCAGTACCTGATCAGAAAATAGCTAGAAAAAAAGCTTAAAACAAAAAAGAATAGTCGGCACCCAAATGGGCTACGTACTTTGACAGGAAATTTTCACGCAAAGACTGTATGCAAGTAAAGCGTAAATGAGGCATTATTCAGGTAGAAAAAAAGATTCAGAAATGTGTCAGCTTGTAGTAGCAGTTGTTCCCGGAAAGCAAAATCTGATAAACGGTACCACACGGGCACTTGAAGTGGAGGACCAAGCATTCTCCTTTCTTTTCGACCCAAACAGCTTCTTGTGATGGATTTCCCACTTCATCATTTTCAGGTTTTTCAGGTTCCTCCTGCAATATAATATTTCAATCGATATATTTAAGTTTACAGAAAACAGCATGGACATAAAGGATTAAGAACATGAGCTGGTTGCTAAATTTCATCAGATAGCTAGCTAGCAAATGATGTGGTCATGTCTATCAAAACATCATCAAGGTGGCCATGAAGTGCACTACTCGAAAAACTTAATTACAGAAAGACATTGTTGGGGTTCAATATAATTAATGAAAAAGAGAATGGCTCGTACGGCTACATGATCAAGAACAGTTACTAAGATCCATCGAATACAAATAAGTCACCCACTTTGCCTGACTGTGATATAGACATTCTGAAGCAAAACGCTAATCATGAACCATTGGAACCGATTTTATACCAAGAAACAAAATATCATCAAGGTGGCAGTGAAGTGCACTACTCAAAAAACTTAATTACAGAAAGATATTGTTGAGGTTCAATATAATTAATGAAAAAGCGAATGGCTCGTACGGCTACATGACCAAGAACGGTTACCAAGATCCATCAAAATACAAACAAGTCACCTACTTTGCCTGACTATGATATAGGGATTCTTGAGCAAACGCTAATCATGAACCATTCGAACCGATTTTATACCAAGAAACAAAATTCAGGCATGTTCGAGAAAATCAGAGATCAACTGCACCGAAATTTATATTCACAAAAGGACTGTAGGAGTATTGAACAGAGGAATAGAACAAAACAGATGTACAAAAACACAAACAGACAATAAAAGCAACAAATTAAGTCGAAAAAATTAGAGATAATTAGGACCTTTCGAATGTTTTCAGTGAAGTCATTTTCAGATTCATCATCATCATCTTCCTCATCTTCTTGCACCACCTGATTCCACCACTGACTCATTTCTTTCAGGCGCTCCTTCATCCTCCTCAGTCTCTGCAATTATGTATATACATAACCATTACCAGGCCAATTTCGCATTAAATAAGATAAACAATCAGCTCAAGCAGTAAGAAAATAATTTAAGAAAACTTGAAACAGGGAACCGACTTTGGTACTAGGGCTCTCTGCACAGCTCGGAGACCTCTGAGTATTTCTCGCCAGAGGGGGACGACGCGAATGCGGCGTCGTGCCGCCGGCCGCCACCACTTGGTGGTTGGCGAGGGGACTGGGGTCGGAAACTGTGCGGTGGACAACTGGCGGGGGATTTGGAAGAGGAAACGAATCTTGAAGAACGTTGTTCGGGTTAGGGTTTTCTTGCGGCTGCTTCGGTGATTGAAAGAGAAATGCCGGCGATTGCGCGGGCGGAGCTGAAGGATTCATGTCGTCGGGGGTGTGTATGGGCTCGGAGACCGTACGGCGGAGAGGAGGCGAAGAGGCGACGGCGGCGGAAGGGTGTGGGAATGGGAGCCTCGTGAACCCCAAGAGGTCGCATTCATCTGCAACGGCGGTTACGTCGCCGGCGGCCGCGGTGGAAGGCGACGAAGGGTAGTGGAGGGAGGCCTTCTTGGAAACCGGCTCTTGAAAGAACGACGGGGACAGCGGGGACTGTCTTTTGGAAGAGTTGACGTACGCAGTGGTGGTGTATGCATCCGGCGCGCCAGAGGTAGCGGCGGCGGCGGTGTTGGGATGGTGGGGGCGGTGTCGATGGCGGTGGCCGTGGCGGTGGGAGGCGGCGGTGGAGAGGTGGTACATGGACCTGCAGATGCTGTCTTCCTCTTGGAATTCTTGGGAGAATTTCAGTTCTTGCTCACTCATCTTTCTCTGTGTTTCTCTCTGTCTCTGTCGGTTGAGGGGGAATTTTTCGTGGTATGATGAAAAAATTGAGCTGAAATTTGAAGATGGAAGAAGAGGGAGAAAGGTGAGGCTCCAAAGAAAGTGTGGCGGGCGGTTCGTGTAAATAAGCAGACGACAAATGAGAATTCGACACGTTTACTTAAAAGAAAAGGCAGGGTTGTTTGTTTTTTTATTTATTTAACATTTTCTCTTAGTGCGAATCAGATTTTAATTTTCAATTGTTAATGTGCTTGGAGGGTTGTGATTTATTAGATTTGCTTGCTTAGCTGATGGTATAACAATTACATTTGATATATTATGTATGTTTTTGGCTAAAATATTGTGTGCATATGATTATCTGTTGGAAACACATATCAGACTAGGTTTAAGGTCCCAAATAGAGTTTTGCTTCGTCGATCTTCTACAGTGCCCACCGGTTCTCACCTCCCATACCATCGGGTCCGCCGTCTCGAGATGAGTCTTCGCCGACCGGAACCACCCAGATCGGCCGCGCGTGCAGCTCCCACGCGCCGACTTTGTCCGGCAGCGCCGTGAGCTTCCGGCGGTGCGTGTGGTTCACCTCCTCAGCCGTTTGCCGCCGCCTTTCAGCCGCCGACTCCTGTCGACGTCGGCTACTTTGTGGTGTGCTCGGATTTGGTATTCGTGAACTTTTTAATTTCGACCTTTTACTGCTATTTTATCCGGTTTGAGATCCAGTTCGTGATTTTCTTCGTACTGTTGCTGGTTGCTGGTGCTTCTTTATTTTTTGGATATCAGAGCCCACTTTGTGCCTGGGTTAGAGACATGATATCAGAGCCCGGCCGATTTTGTGTCTGGGTTAGAGACATGATATCAGAGCCCACTTTGTGCCTGGGTTAGAGACATGATATCAGAGCCCACTTTGTGTCTGGGTTAGAGACATGATATCAGAGCCCGATCGACTCTGTGTCTGGGTTAGAGACATGATATCAGAGCCCGACCGACTTTGTCATTTTATTCGCCAGCATGTTACCCATGGGACTGTACGACTTGTTTCAATATCCTCTTCGGATCAGATAGCGGATGTCTTCACGAGGTCTCTCCTTCCCGGTCGCTTTTGTTTACTTCTTCGCAAACTCAAGTTGATATCTACTATACCACCTTGAGTTTGAGGGGAGGTGTTAGAATATATTTTGTATATATGGTTAGAATATATTTTGTATATATCTTGTAGGATTAGGTTTAGGCTCATTATGTTCCTATATATATGTGTACATGTCTTGTGAATAATATAGAATAGAACATATATTTTTTCCCAAATTCTAATATAGAAGATGTGGTTTTTGAAAATTTTCCAAGTATTGACAAAAAATTTGTGGATGATGAGATGAACTCGACTTTTTAAATAGCGGCCGAAAATCGAACGAAGAACCAAGAGTCGGAATGATTTTTAATACCCTTGATGAAGCATGGGATTGTTGGCAAAATAATGGGAAGGTAGTGGGATTTGATGTTAGAATAAATTATCGCAACAAAAGCCAAAAGAATAGAATATGTAATAATGCAGTTTTTGTTTGCCGTAAGGAGTGTAAAAGAGATGAAGATAAAAGGAGTGTGGGAGTCGTACATCGATGGGAAGAAAGAACATCATGCAAGGCTAAACTAAATGTAGTTTTGGAGAGGTCGACTAGAAAATACAAGTTCAAAGAATTTGTTGCAGAACATAATCATGAACTTGAGCCTCCAGAAAAGAGTCATCTGTTACGATCCTATAGGCAAATGAGTCATGTCGCCGCTGTTGCAATTAATTTGGCACATGATGTTGGACTCACCCCAAAAGCAACACATTACTCGAGGATTAGAATCAGGGGGTCAAGATAAACTTGAATACATATTAGAAGATCAAAAGACTTATTTGCGCTTGAAAAGAGAAAAATCAAACATGGTATATGGTGAGTTGAGAGTATAATACATTACTTTTAAAAGAGAAAGACCCTTCATTTTTTTTTTATTTAATGCAATTTGACAGTGACGAACTAGTCACTAATATATTTTGGGCTGATTCGAGGATGATTGTTGATTATGGTGATTTTGGCGATGTAATTACTTTGGCACAACTTATGGCACACAAAAGATTTAGACCCTTAGGTGTATTCACGGGATTTAATCACCACAGGCAAATGATCATTTTTGTGGGTGCACTTTTGTATGATGAGACTGTTGGTTCGTTTGCTTGGCTTTTTGGAACTTTCTTGAATGTTGATGGACGTAAAAAGCCTCAAACTTTTTATACGGATCAAGAGCAGCTATTACAAATGTTTTGGCAAAAGTATTGAAAAATACACGACATGGGCTTTGCACGTAGCACTTAAATCAAAATGGGAACAAATATTTGGGTTGGCATATGAAAGACGATTCTTCCTTATTGATGGAGTTTAAGAGATGTATGTTTGAATATTTAGAAGAGCATGATTTTGAAAGAGAATTTGAATATTTAGAAGAGGATGATTTTGAAAGATAATGGAAAAAACTACTTGATAGTTAATGAATGACTATGGCGTACATATGGTCAGAAGGAGAAACGGGTCAACTGTCACTGAAATATGCATTTACCCTTGGAATAAGAAGCACTCAACTGAGTGAGAGTTTGAAAAGTGATCTTAAATCCTATTTAAAATGTGATATAAATATTTCTGGTTTTTTCAGACAGTTTGATAGGGTTGTCGATGAAAAAGCTTAAACCCAACTTTGATGCGAGACTGAAGATACCTCCACTGCAATCATATGATTCCTTGTTGTTGATGCAAGTGTCAAAGTTGTACACTCCTGATTATACTTTTTCGGATTGAACTTTACGCTGCTTTAAGAGTTATAATAAAAGGAAAAGATGAGGCTCAACATCCACTTGAATATGTGGTTCGTCTTCATGGTTCAAGAGAAAATGAGATGAAAGTACTCTTTGATCCTACAAAAGATTGGGTCATCTGTAGTGTAGAAAGTTTGAAATCATGGGAATATTATGTTGTATCCTTAAAGTATTTATTGTTCAAGATGTAATGTGCGTTCCACAAAAGTACATACTGGGCAAGTGGACAAAAGACGTGAAAAGTGACCAAAACTTGAACAAATAAAATTCCCATGATGCAGATGTTAGGGAATGGGTCCAAAGACTTTTTTCTCAACTATTACGGATGACACTTCAAGCTTTCGCCCATGAAGAGACACGGAGTTGTATGGAGAAAATGGTGCAGGACTATAATAAGCAAATTTTTGCTTTTGCAACAAAGAATGAGATATCAAATGTAATAAGGCTTTAGGCAGCATGCGCATGGGGTGGTCAGTATACGTGAAAGAAATGCTAACCATCATATAACAGTGCAGGTCTGGAGACCATATATTTTGGGATGTTGTTTCAAGATTGTAATGAACCAACAACCTCTAAGTCATCTATTGCAGCAACGCGAAGTGACCCCGGAGCAACAAAAATTTGTATCAGAGCTTATGGAAGAAGAGGGAGAAAGGTGAGGCTCCAAAGAAGTGTGGCGGGCGGTTTATGTAAATAAGCAGATGACAAATGGATTGGAGATATATGTGATCGGGGGGCGGTTAATTAATTAATATAGCCCTTAAATTAGTTCTAATTAAATACAATCTATAAGATTTTAAAATAAAGAATAAATAAATTGCTTATTCCCCTTCCCATTGCCTCAAGTACACGCTCCAGATACCGTAAAAAAAAAAAAAAAAAAAAAA